CTCCTACGGTGGCCTCCTCATGAGACTCCAGGGAGATGCCAATAACTTGCACGGCTTTGAAGTGGATTCGAGGGTCTACCTCCTGATGAAGAAATTAGCCTTCTGAGCAGCTTCTGCCACCAGACGGGTTGGAGGCTCGATTAAGCAGCTTGGGACATTTCAGAAAATAACATCTGTTGCTTCCTCTGCTTCCCTTCAGAAGCGTTTGGAGCAAAGCTTGGCAACGAATTAGAAGCACCTTTCTTGATGTTCTCCACCGTCTTTAGCAGCCACAACCGGGACAATTTTTCTCCACGCCATTTTCCCAGGGCCCTTTGCCGTTAGGAAGAAGCTGCCAGCCTACGTGGCAGCATTCCTTATGAAGCTCAAGAGTAGAATATTTCCTGGTGCCGAAAACAATAATGCTTTTGATGAAGTGATCTGTTTTACAGAGCATTTTTCTACAAAGGCAACACTACTATTTCTGGTAAACTCGACCCCTTTGGTCAAAAAACACAGAGCAAAAGAAGTTAGCTCCTGCCTCAAACTCCTTACAGGTAATCGTTACTCCTTTTTTAAAAAACATCAAATAAATATTTTTTATGGATTTTTATAGTTGTCTGGGCTTTGTACAGGAAGGCAGTTCTGTATTTCTTTGATTAACATAGCTAATCAGTCGAGTGCAAAGCTTCCACCACCTCCCAATGTTATGTTGATCTTATAGAAGGACCCAGAAGGCAACTTGGGTGTCCTCCGGATGCTTAGGACCTCTGTGCAGAGGTGGGTTTCAGCAGGTTCTGACCATTTCTGGAGAACCGGTAGCGGAAATTTTGAGTAGTTCAGAGAACCGGTAGTAAAAATTCTGACTGGCCCCGCCCCCTTCTATTCTCTGCCTCCCAAGTCCCAGCTGATCGGGAGGAAATGGGGATTTTGCATTAACCTTCCCCTGGAGTGGGGACGGAATGGAGATTTTGCAGTATCCTTCCCCCCCCGGAGTGGGTTGGGAATGGAGATTTTACAGTATCCTTCCCCTGCCAGATCCACCAAGCCATGCCACGCCCACTAAGACGCACTCACAGAACCGGTAGTAAAAACAATTTGAAACCCATCACTGCAGGCTCTATGCCCATCAGCCACAGCTCCTGTGACGCAGCAGAAAGGGATTGTGGGAGCTAGAATGGTATAGTGGTTAATCTTTCTGATGAGGAGGAGGGAGTCCAACAGACTTGGGTTCAAGTCCTTGAGCAAAAAAATTCAAGGGTGAATTTGGAAACGATTTGTGTTTCAGCTCAATTAATCTCACAGGGTAGTAAAGATACAATGGGGGGGGGGGGATCCTGTCTTGTTCGCTGTTTAGAAATGTCCAACGAAAAATGAAATAGGAATGTTTGGCAATTATTATTTTTTTTGGTGGGGGCGTGAAATTCTCTCAAGACTGTGGATTTGAAAAAGTCTCTTATGCTGGTTGGGGATGGCAAGAATGACCGTATTTTTCAGACTATAAGACGCACCTAAAAATTTACAGAGGAAAACACGGAAAAAATAGTTTTTGGCCTCCATGTGTCGGATTTTCGCCCTGCCAGCCCCCGAGAAGCATTCTGTAGTGCTCTGCACAGCCCGTTGTTGCCATTTTCACCAAAAACAGGCCCATTTTCACCAAAAAAGGGCCTGTTTTTGGCCTGCAGAGTGCTTCTGGGGGCCTGGGAGGGCGAAAATGCAATGCACAGAGTGCTTGGGAGTCCAAAAACACCCATATTCAGTCTATAAGATGCACCTAAATTTTCACCTACTTTTAGGGGAGGGGGAAAGGTGCATCTTATACTCTGAAAAATACGGTAATATACCATATTATATAGAGAGAGATGCTGTATTACAGGTAATCCTCAATTTACGACTTAGCCCCCAATTTTGGTCCTAAGTCAATGATGGTCCAAAGAGTGCATCACCATATGGCCATGCCTGATTTTACAACATTTTTGTGGTCGTCATTAAGTGAATGCCACAGTTGTTAAGTGAACCCATTGTTTGCTAGGGGATGGATTTTTTTCAGTAAATACCAGTTTCTGGCAAAAAAAAAAAAGTCGTAAATCATAGTCTATGATTGTGGGGTGCTGCAAACATAAATGCAGGCTAGTTGCCGAGTACCCATAATATGGTAATGTGACCTTGGAGTGCATTTGGACATCAGAACATTGAATTCATGTCGTTGATCCCATTATAATGATATAATGATTTCAGTATTTGAGAGGCTGCCACAAAGAAGAGGGGCTCAACTTTTTCTCCAAAGCACCAGAAGGCAAGACAAGAAACAATGGATGGAAACTAATCAAGGAGAGAAGCAACCTGGAATTAAGGAGAAACTTCCTAACAGTGAGGACAATTAATCAGTGGAATAGCTTGCCTTCAGAAGTTGTAGATGCTTCATCACTGGAGGTTTTTAAGAAGAGAGTGGACAGCCACCTGTCTGAAATGGTATACGGTCTCCTGCTTGAGCAGGGGACTGGACTAGAAGACCTCCAAGGTCCCTTCCAGCTCTATTCTGATTGATCCCATTTTGGAGGTCTGTTGGAACTTCAAACGGTCGCTAAGCAATCGGTCATAAGTCAAGGACTACCTGTACAGAAAGCTGGTTTATGATCTTTGTACATAAGCAAGAAAAGGACTAAGCTTGACAACACAAGCCTATAATTCTCCCAAAGCTTTTTCCAATATGTATGACTGGCCAAAGCAGCGATAAGAGCTCAGTACCCCATTTATCCTACCAGGTCTTGTTGTGCTAGTTGAATATATATCCCATCATAGTTATTTTTTTTAAAAAACTGAATAAGGTCATTATTCCTGTAATGAATTACATAATCATGTAATGGCAATAGTTAGCAGGTTTCATTCCTTCCTTGTAGAGTTCCTGTTGATACCTGGTTGGGATGTCAGAATTATAAATTAGAATCACTTGTAGCTGAATTGTATTTACTTTCCATCCTGATTTACCGTATTTTTTGGAGTATAAGACTCACCTTTTTCCCTCCTAAAAGGGAGTGAAATGTAGCCCTGCCCACCCACTGGCCCCTACCCTTTGGCCTCTGCCTCCCAGCAGTTACCTCCTTGCAGAAAGCAGCAAGAAGAAACAGCTCCTTTCAGCTTCAGCACAGCCTAATTAGCACAAGTTGATTGGATCTGCCTCCCGACTCTCAGCTGTTTTGCTCTCAGCTGTTTTGCGTGGGCCTCTGCTGCTTGCTGCAAGGAGGTAAATTGCTGGGAGCAGATTTTTTATTCTTGTGCTAATCAAGCTATGCTGAAAACGAAAATGAAAGTAAAGCAGACTATTTGATGTTTGCTGACATGAGGCAAAATTGCTGGGAGGGAGAGGCAGATTTCTTCTTGTTTTCCTCACCAAAAAAAGGTAGGTGCGTCTTATAGTCCGGTGCGTCTTATACTCCGAAAAATACAGTACTTAGAGTTCCAAGCACAGCTTTGCAGTAGAGGAAGACAACTGGAGCAGTTTTGGATGCCTTGCCCCAAATTACCCGAATAAGCCATGGTTCCTTAATCCAAGGCTCTCCAAGCTTGGAAACATTTAAGACTGGTGGACTTCAACTTCCAGAATTCCCCAGCCAGCCATGGTGGCTGGGGAATTCTGGGAATTGAAGTCCACCAGTCTTAAAAGTTGCCAATTTTAGAGAGCCCTACCTTAATCAGAAAATGCTCGGCTGCTCTTTTCTTCCGCCACCCACCCACCCCCCACCCCCCGCAGCTTCTTGATATAAAGTGAGGACATCCAAGCAAACATTTTGCCGATTTCTCAAATCTGTCGATCCCTCCAAATGGCATTGCCTAGACGTGGTATTCATAGACAGTTTATTAAAACGGGGTCCACAGACAGGAAAGTAGATCTGGAATTTATCTGGGCTTAGTAGCATGCCAGGAGATGTTCTAGGTCAGCGGTCTCCATCCTTGGTGGCCCAGCGGGGTGTAGGGGAGAGAACTAGCCCACCGGTTGCGCGCATGCATGTACCGGCCAGCCTCTCGTGCGGCCCAATAGTGAGCCAGGGGTTGTGGAGCCCTACTCTAGGTTTCAATTCTGGTCCTTGGAGAAAACCCCAGTATATACATTCCCACTAAGAAACGGTTAAATCCTAGGTCATGGCTGCAAAAAATATATATTTAAGGGGGCCGTGTAGAGTCTCTGTTGCAAAGCTCAGAATATCTTCTTTGTCCTTAATGACTGATTAATAAGATAACCACCTCCATTATGAAGAAGTTGGGTTTACACAAGATAAGTTATGGAGAGCAATGGGGTCGCTCCGAGGAACATGGGCCAGTCCTGGGGGCTGGGGAGAGCTCGGATGAGGGCTCTGCGTCGGAGGCAGAGAAGGAGCTAGACAGCAGTGAGAGAGAGGAGCAGCTGGATCCTGTTCCCAGTGTGGCATGCACAGAGCTGCCGGAAAACAAGAACAACTAAGAAAGCAGGGTCGACTTGGAAGTAACGCCACACCTTGGAGATGATTGGCCCCTCCCATAGGAAACAAAAGGGGAGCGAACGGGGAGTGGGCTTTTGCAGGAAAGAGTTCGTGAGCCTAAGTCAGCACAGCTCCGCCGATTCTGACTCGATGGCCCAGAATCGATCGAGCAAGTTGAGTCGAATGTCCTCATCTTTTCCGCCGAGTTTCCGTAGAGTTCATCGGAGCTGCTTATTCCAGGAGAACGCCGACCGGGGTGACACGAGAAAGATGGTGAGGCTTGGGTTCCTTTTTTGGGGGGGGAGGGTGTAGAGCCAGACTTTTGCCCAACTCTATAAGCCTCGAGTTTGTTTGTTTGTTTGTTTTTTGCAGGCAGCTGAAGCAAGCTGGGTACGAAATGCAGAGAGTTGGGATCTCCAGGATTAACACAACGCCCCCTCTTCCTTTTTCTCCCCCACCTTTTAGCACCAGCCCTCCCCACATTGAGGGCTTGGTCAGCCCTGTTCTTCCACCCCAGCGATGCCTTTTTTTTCCCCCCCCCCCCTCCCCCTGGAAGATTCTCTTGCCAGCCCACCTGCAGGATGATTCAGTGCCCGCTAGATGTGACCAAGGTGTGCTAAGGAGGAAAGGCAACTCCAGGTGGATGGTCCTCCTCAGCACAAGAGTCTTTCCGGAGGTCATAGAACAAGAAGTTCAATTTTCCTTGCAAAAGCTGTACGTAGGTCCAGAAGATCGTCCTAAGATTCCTCGTCGAAATCAGTTTGGGGACGTTTTCTGGCTGTGTAGTTACGCTGTGTTCCTAGGGCAAGAGAAGAAACCAGTCAACTGCCTGTTAAGCAAACTTCACGCAGTTAGAAGGTGCTCTTGACCAGAGGTGGGCAACTGTGGCCCTTTTACAACCTGTGGACTTCAACTCCCAGAATTCCTGAGACAGCTTAGCTTAGCTGTCTCAGGAATTCTGGGAGTTGAAGTCCACAGGTTGTAAAAGGGCCACAGTTGCCCACCCCTGCTCTTGACCACTTTTGGAGCAAATTCTTGAAGGAAGCTGGGCCATTGCTCTTAGCAGTTTTTCCAAACGTGGAAACTTTTAAGACCTGTGGACTTCAACTCCCAGAATTCCTCAGCCAGCATGCTAGGGTTCACCCATCTTTTAAAGTAGCAAAGTTTGGAAAACGCTACAGGTAGTCCCATTCGTTTAGTGACCGTTTAGAAAGTTAACAACGGCGCCGGAAAGAGTGTCTTATGACCGTTCATTTCAGTTCTTATACTAACCGAACAACTGCATTCACTTAACCACCGTGGCAAGAAAGGTGGTTAAAAGGGGGGCAAAACTCACTGAAGAATTGTCTTGCTTGGCAATGGAAATTTTAGACTGAATTGTGGCCCTGAGTTGAGGGCAGTGGTGGGATTCAGCCAGTTCGCATCTATTTGGGAGAACCGGTTGTTAACTTTCTAAGCAGTTTGGAGAACTGGTTGTTGGAAGAAATATCCCCCCCCCCCCCACTTTACAGGACTAATCCTGTAAGGAAGGCAGGAAGGAAACATTCTGGTGGTGTTTCTAGCCTAATCTTTATTGCCCTGCTTACAGAAACTGCCTCTCTGGTTAACCCTTATTACATTGTAACAGCTAAGGCGAAGCGCCCATCGATGAGAGTAATGTTGAGTTGGCCATGCCCACACGGTCATATGACCACCAAGCCACGCTTACCCAGCTGGTCATTAGGGCATTGTTAAATTATTTGAATCCCACCACTGGTCGAGGGTACCACCTGTAGTAGCAGTTGAGGGTAGGAAAGAATATCATGAACAAGGACATACATTCAATTTTGCAGCCCTACCAAGATTGTTGGACGAGCAGGTCCAAAAACAGCCAGGGAAGTGATAGAAGCCTGGGAAACAGGTCCATCATCAGTCAATAGGGATGCTGATTTACTACCAACCTATCAAGTACTTAGAAGGGAAGGGCTGGGCAGTACAAACAAACAAAAGCTAATGACTTAAAACCCCGTCACCAACACACCCCAATCAACATCTAAAAAGCCACTTACAACAGGCACTATAAATACCACACACACAACAGCACACACTTTGCTAGGGAGTAGTTCCCTGAGGATGGGCTCCAGCATGAGTCTGAAAGCTCGGAAGATTAAACCACTAATCCCGGTGACCGACCCAGATTGGATCCTGGACCATGTATATTTGCCTTCATTTGTGAATATCATGGTTGCTTATAAATGTTAAGCCAGTTGTAGGGCAAACATAGAGGGATATGGTGGCTCAGTGGTGAAGACAATGGGCTTGTTGATCGAAAGGTTGGCAGTTCAGCGGTTCGAGTTCCTAGTGCCGCATAACAGGGTGAGCTCCCGTGACTTGTCCCAGCTTCTGCCAACCTAGCAGTTCGAAAGCACGTAAAAAATGCAAGTAGAAAAATAGGGACCACTTTTGCCTTTGGCGTTGAGTCATGCCGGCCACATGACCACGCAGAAGTCTTCGGACAGCGCTGGCTCTTCGGCTTTGAAACGGAGATGAGCACTGCCCCCTAGAGTCAGGAACGACTAGCACATATGTGCGAGGGGAACTTTTACCTTTTTTTTTAGGGCAAACATTGCAATGCAGTTACACACCCATTTCAACTATACAACCAGCATTTTAAGCAATCTGCATTTTAACCAACTGTGTTGCCCAAACCGGACCCTGATGGGTTAGTGAAAATTAGATACATTCAATAGCCAGGTTATGAGTTGTCACTGTGCCAACAGGGAACAGTTTCTGAATCCAGCAACATATAAACACAATAAATGCAAGTAGTTCTCACTTAATGACTGCCCTGTTTGGTAACCAAGTTCATGACTGCAGAAAAAAAGTCACTGCAAATCTCAATCCCATTTAATGACCATGGGTGATTTCCTTAATGACCGACTAGAAACGAGGTCATAAATCCATCATATGTTATGTGATACCTTAATAACTGACTTCGAATAACTTTATTGTCATTTTGAATGTACCAATCAACATACATTAAAATGAAATTATGTTGCCTACAGCTCTCAAAGGGTCACCACTTCCAATATACACTCCATAAACATGACATAAATATAAATAAATAAATAAATAAAGTATGCATTTGCTGCATCATTTAGTGACGAGTTGCCAGTGCTGATCATTCAAACGAGGACTTACTTTGTGAATGCAAATGTAGTCTAGGAAAAGAAAATACAGTAGTGGCTAAAATTGTGGAAATGTGGTATTTTCTAAAACTAGCTAATAACACCACTTTTTTTTGAAGTAGTACCATACAATTATATATCAACGGAAAGATAATTTAATCAAGAATGTAATGCAATAACACTTATGAAGGATTTCCTATTAGAGTAGCAGTTACAGTATAAAGAAGAAAAGTGAAACATAGAAAAAACAGGATATACAAAAATTATCACCATATCAGTTAATACTTAATTGGGTAATCTTAGGGCCTTACAAGGTCTTCCCATGGAGTGAACCAAGTCTTTTAGTTCTGCAGCTGTTATAATGTGAAACCAAGATTGAATGATCGCTTCGATTAACTGGGTTTTATTGCTGGGTCGCTTCTGACTAACACGTTTCTTTAGTCGGCTCCATAGGTTTTCAATTGGGTTAAGGTCTGGGCTATTCCCAGGCCATTCCAGCAGTGGAATAGGATTATTTTGAAACTCCAAACAAAGTTGTGTTATTAGCCATCAACCCTCAAAAATTCAAAACCCAAAAGGTTTCCACAATTTTAGCCACTACTGTACTGTACACTTCTAAAACAGCCCAGCTTCAGGGAGCTGATAAGGTGCTTTTGATGGTGAGAAAAGCATCCAAGATTTGCTCAAATTCTTGTCGTATCCTATGTTTATACCAAGAGCATTCACTGCCTCCCCATTATCTTTTAGTGCCAACAAATGTCCACCATTACTACAGTATACTGTATATATATCAACCCTTCACACCTTACGAACGTTTCTCTTCTCCAGAATCTCTTTCATCTGTCTGTGACTTTCTTCCCTTTCATCTCCATTCGTTCTATCATTAAACAGTTTGGGAGATGTCACGCATTCTTCCTGTTCAATGTTAACTCATTAGCCGCTATCCAATTTACTTTCAGGCATGGTTTATTTTAGCCAGATGCCACTATTCATGCATTTATCGGAACACCGATGACTCCGTGTTTTCGCTTTCCATAATTCTCTACATCCTCTAAATCAGGGGTGTGAAACTCAAGGTCCGTGGGCCGGATCCGGCTTGTGGGTGCCTCGGTGCCTCTGCCAGCAAAAATGGAGTTTAGGAGGGCCGTGTGTGCACACACGCACCCCGAGCTCCGTTTTTGCTGGCAGAGGGCTAGCAAAAGAAACTAAAAAGAAAAGAGGAGAAATGTTTCCCCTTTTGCATTTGAGCATGCAAGAAGGGACAGGAAAGGAGAAAGGCAAAGAGGAAAGACAAAGAAAAAGATGGGAAGAGAGGAAGGAAGGAAAAATAAAGAGGGGAAGGAAGAAGAAAGGAGAATGAAGGGGGAAGGAAAAAGAAGAAAAGGAAGGGAAGAGAAGGAAGGGAAAGGAAAGGAAAGGAAGATTATAATTTATTTATTTATTTATTATTATATTTCTATACCGCCTTTCTCCCGTAGGACTCAAGGCGGTGTATAGTCAAGAAAAATATAGATACACAAACATCATAAAATTGCTAATTAAAATTATTATTATAACATAGTTTGGCCCCATAGTGAGGACCCAGTTGTGGGGGCAATAAGCTGACTTTGTATAAATATACAAAAGGATGAAGGCTATTGCTGAGCACATTGTAAGCCGCCCTGAGTCTTCGGAGAAGGGCGGCATATAAATCAAATTAAAATAAAATAAAATAAAAAATTAAATAGAACCTAAAATTAGATAAGATTTTAAAAACATTCACATGTTCGTATGTTTAGCCCCGCCTGTTGGAACATCAGGGTCTTGAGGGCATGGCGGAAAGCACGTAGATCAGGGATATTCCGTATCTCCGGGGGCAGTTCATTCCAAAGGGTTGGAGCCCTCACAGAGAAGGCCCTCCCCCTGGGAGTCGCCATTCGGCATAATTTGACTGACGGTACCCTGAGTAGTCCCTCCCTGTGAGAACGAACTGGTCGGTGGGAGGCTATTGGTGGCAAAAGACGGTCTCGTAGGTACCCAGGTCCTAAGCCATGGAGCGCTTTAAAGGTGATGACTAACACCTTGAATCGCACCCGGAAGACCACCGGGTAATGAGAGGGAGGGAGGGTCTAAGGCAGGGGTCAGCAACCTGCGGCTCCAGAGCCACATGCAGCTTTTTGGGCCGTCTGCTGTGACTCCCTATCAGGTGATCCCACCACTGGCTGGCCCCGCCCCTCGCCCGCCCCTCCCAGTCACTCCTCACCTGGCCTGAAAAGGTAAGGGCAACGGCAGGGGATGGAGAAGCGGCCAGGGCAGAAACAGATACAGAGTGAGGGTGGGGGAGAGAGAGACATAGAGAGATAAAGAGAGAGAGGGAGAGAAAGTGGGGAGAGAGATATGTCAAAAGGATTTTGTGGTTCCCGGTGTTTTATAGCAACTGGTTCTCTGCCCTAATGATCGGCTGGGTAGGTGTGGCTAGGGGGAGGGGTCCTGTGACCGGTGGGAGTGAGTGACATTGAGTTGGCCACGCCCACCCAGGTTTTGTGGCTCCCGGTGTTTTCTTTTCTGAGGGAAACGGGTCCAAATGGCTCTTTTGAGTATTTAAGGTTGCAGACCCCTGGGCTAAGGGAAGTCCTGCCTTAGCACTTAGCCACCACAGGTGCCCCCCCCCCCCGCCGATACAAGTGACGTCGAGCTGGCCATGCCTACCACAGCCACGCCCATCTCCCACCCCCCACCCCCGAGGTCAAACACAACCCTGATGCGGCCCTCAATGAAATCCAGTTTGACATCCCTGCTCTAAATCCATATAGAATTACATCTTTCTCAGTTCAGAGACTTCGCATGATGCTGTGGCTTCTTCAGAGACCCCCACCCCCACAAATTCTGGGATTGGCTCACCTGCCCTTGGAAGTTTCTTAAGTGCAGAAGGAAGAAGTTGACCTTCTCATAAAGCTGCTGAAGACGTACCAGGATGCAGGTCTCGTTCATCGATCGCTGGGCCGCGGCTATGCCATCCATCAGTTTGACCAACACTTGGTGAATTTCCTGCGTCTTGACTTCATTCTGAAATAGAATCAGTAATTTTGCCATCTCGAGGACACTGTATTTCAACCTTAGCAAATTTAAGAGGTGTGGACTTCAACTCCCAGAATTCCCCAGCCAGCAAGGCTGGCTGGGGAATTCTGGGAGTTGAGGTTCACACCTCTTAAAAGGTGTCAAGATGTGAAACACTGCTGTATTTACTAGGGTGGGACCAGAATTGGGTTTTTTTTCTTAAAATTTAAGGGGTAACACTCTCATCATTTTAGCTGCAGTGCCATTAGCTTCCTTGTTTTATATTGCAGAATTTCAGCACCCCCAAAAATAATCAGTAATCCCTATAAACTATAGTCAAATATCATGCTTAACTACCACACTCGTCGTTACCCTCCAAGGTAGACCAGACTAGGAAACCAAAGTTATGCATGCTAATGTTACTTTTATTATAAGTTATAAAGCTTTTAAGTCTGAATGCATCTTCACTCTCTCACCCTTTATCTTTATGAGAACTAGGGAAGGTCTCTTCCCAGCTGTTTAGTCAGATTACCATTCTGTCCCGGACTCAAACTTCTTTTACCCGAAGGTTATCTTCATTTGAATTTTTCCTACTGTTCCTCAAGGTTATTTTTTCTTCCCATTACAGTTGTGTACATGTACTTCTGTTTCCCAACCTGGCAACTTTATGTTCTGACCTAGGCCTCCTGAGTAGTAAAACACACGAGTAGTCCCAAAAACCTGTTTTATTTTTAACAGCTACGAATTCTGTTCATTCACAGATGAGTCCCAAATAGTTGTAAAGAGTCCTTCGGGATAAGGCTGATAATCACCCACCTTTATCTCCCTTGACACGCTGCCAAAGACCTAATTGGCAAAGCCACACGGAGTCCAGAATCAAACAGAGCTTCAGGCTTTAAACTGCACAGAATTAACAACGTTGCTTCCTGCAAAGGCTCATGTCCCTTTGCTCCTCTTTTATGTCTTATGGGAGGAAAAATCATTTCCAAGCCCTACTCCTGAGTCGTCCCTTTTGTTTTAACTGTTCTTGCCTTCTGGCAGCTCTGCGCATGCGCGCACTGGGAACAGGCTCCCCCTGTTCCTCTGCATTGCTGAGGTCCGACTCTGGAGGCTCTGGAGTCCGCTCATCGCTCCCAGATGGCCCTGGCCCCATCTCCCTGCCGGAAATATAAGGTGATCAATCGTCCTCCTTTAGGGAGGACAGTCCTTCTTTTGTAAGTTCTGTCCTCTCTTGAAAAGTGTCCTCCTACATGTCCTCCTTTTCGATAGTTGAAGACTATCTGTAAATCTCCATATTCGATCGATGCCGATCCGTTGAGTGTGATGTGACGTATTTGTCTGTGACGTGACGATTCATCAAGGCTCGGTACAGTGCGGCGAGACGCGATTATGAGACGCATGCGCTCCGCACAGGAGAATTGTTTTGAGAGAGTGAGCCGCGCACAAGTGGCTTTGTTTACTTCTTACCAAAACACGACACGGCACACATGCACATGTCCTCCTTCTCATTGTAAAAAAGTTGGTCACCTTAGGAAATGGCCCATTTCCGGACTTCCGGTAGGCCCATTTTTCGCCCTCAGAGAGCTAACAAACAGATGAGTGCAAAGGATATAAATCCTTCCATTCCCACCATTCCATCAGAACTGAAGAAGCTTCTTGGATGAGAAGTGAAATGTTTTCAAGGAAAACAAAAAAAAACAAAAAAAGGCAGTTTGCCTGTTGGAAAAACACCTTTGCGGCCCAGACAGTGAAGCCCAAAGAACCATGACATCCATACAGCCTACAATACTCACCGTCTTTGTTTTCCACACCCTGAGGCTCAACCCCACCAAGGGTAAATGCACAGGTTCCAGAAGCAAAGGAAGTTCTTCGCATTGGCTCTGCAAAGACAGGACAAAAACAGAAGAAAATCAACTCGAGGCTGGCTAACTTTCACTTCTGCCTTTCATTGACATCCTTTCCAGGAAACAGAAACGGGAATATTCTTCTTAGAAATGCCAATATTATTATGGGGACTAAATTGTACAATGAACGGTTATTGGAAGTGTAGGAAGTTAGCACCCACCCCTCTCCTAGGAAAATGAGATATTTTAGGAAATATTTAAAAGGGCAGAATATTTCCCCTAAAAGGGAGGCAGAAACTCAGCTCCCCACCTTTGTCAATGGACCATGAAGGCCTGGGCCAGTCTATTCTACATAACAAAGATCTACTTCCTTCAGGCAGAGCCGTAGTAGGAATTGCCCAAAGCCCTTTCATTACATCATCATCACCTAGCAAGAGTCAACCAAGCCTGGGATTCACTCAAAAGACAACCTACAAAGTTACCTCTGGGTGCATGGCCCCATGGGAGTCTGACAACCAATCAGAACGCAAGCTCAAATTCAAAGCCCAACAGAGGATATAAAACCCAGGCACTCTCAGCATCTCTGCCCATTTTTTCTGCCCAGGATCTCAAGCCATGTGATCCTGTTCACCCATAAACCTTCTTTCCATGCAACTTCCATGAATCCAGTGTCTTTTTTCCCCACTTGGAACTGAACCTAGAAGGATATTTCTTCCAACAGAAGTATGAACGTCTAGTCTAATGAAGAGAAGAACTAGGGGTGACGTGACATCAGGGCTCCAATATTTGAGGGGCTGTCACAGAGAAGAATGGAGGGTCAACCTCTTCTCCAAGGAACGTGAAGGCAGGACAAGAAATAACAGTTGGAAACTAAGAAGTGACAACAATTAACCAGTGGAACAACTGGCCTCCAGAAGTTGTGGCTGCTCCATCATTGGAAGTTTTTAAAGAAGAGATTGGACAACCATTTGTCCAGGATGGTATAAGTCAGGCGTATCAAACTCAATTTCATTGAGGGCCGCATCAGGGTTGTGTTTGACCTCGGGGCGGGGGGGGGGACGTGGCCAGGACGGGCGTGACAAGCTCGATGTCACTCGTTGAGGCTCTGTTTTTGGTAGTGACGGCTTCCTGCAGCCCTCTGTCAATGAAAACGGAGCCTAGGAGGCCCTTCCCTTCCCTTCCTTTTCTTCCTTTTTTCCTTCCTTCTTCCTTCTCCTTTTTTCTTCCTTCCCCTCTTTCCTTATCTTTTCCTTCCTTGCTCTCTTCCCATCTTCCCTTCTTTTTCTTTTTCTTTCCTCTTTCCCTTTCTCCTTTCCTGTCCCTTCTTGCACGCTCAAATGCAAAAGGGGAAAACATTTCTCCTCTTGTTTTGTTTTGACTTTCTTTTGCTAGCCCTCTGCCAGCAAAAACGGAGCTAGGAGTGGTCAAAAACGGAACACGTGGCCCCCCTCTCCCCCGCGAGCTCCTTTTTCACTGGCAGAGGCACTGCGGGCCAGTCTTTCGCTGTTTCCATGGCGGCCCCGCAGGCCAGATCTATGCACCCTGTGGGCCTTCAGTTTGATACCCCTGGTATAGGATGGCCTGCCTAAGTAGGGGGTTGGACTAGAAGACCTCCGGGGTCCCTCCCAATTCTGATATTATGCCCCCCAAAGCATGAACTGCCCCCAGAAATTCGTAAAATCTCTGCTCTCCGTGTATTTCGCTGTGCCCTCAAAACCATGTTGTTCCGCCAGGCTGGGCTATCAATATAAAGATTTTAATTGGTTTTAAAGGGGATTTTAAATTTGGGGTTTTATAAATTGGGCCTATTATTTAATAATTTTAATTATTTTTAAATTCTGTCTGTCTTTGTGTTTTTAATTAGGCTGTACACCGCCCTGAGTCCTTGGGGAGAAGGGCGGTATAGAAATAAAATAAAATAAATAAAATAAAATAAAATAAAATAAAATAAAATAAAATAAAATAAAATAAAATAATAAAATAATAAAATAATAAAATAATAAAATAAAATAAAATAAAATAAAAAAATCTGAAACAGGCTAAGAAGGAGGAACTAGTTCTCCTCGAACTCAGCGCAGCTTGGACAGACCAACAGGTGTTTTCTCACCAACGTTTCCTCCATTTCCACAGCTTCAGCCACGTATTTCTGGATCAGTCGCCTGTCACATACAAGCTCCGTGGGCCACATCCCCGAGAGTCTCATCTGGAACAGGAATACAACAAAGACCAGCAGCCCTGGAGGAGACAACCAGAGAAGGACTCACTGACTATCTTCTGCTAGAGTTTTGATGATGGGCACTCTCACAAAATGGAAATGCTTGCCCGATTCCACAAGTAGCTAAAATCTACCGATGCAACCAGACAAAAGCTTACCTTGTATATTCACATGCAAAAGGATGTGAGAGGGAATCCGCCCTCCTACCCCGTCAAATGTGAACGTAAAGCCAGAGCCCTATATTTTAAATACAATATCATTTCATTTCGCAGGAATTCAGTCCGCGCTCTTCCAAACGTCTAGTCTTAAATTTTGCTCCTTGCTGAGTCAGATGCATCTAGTTTCAAACCCAAAAAGGCAGTTTGGTTACCAGTTTCGTAATCCTCGTGGCTCTTCACTCAGCCTGGGATAATGGATACTGTAGTTTGGGAGGCAAGGCCACAAAAATCTCCTTGATCATTCAGGAAGTGGTCAAAAAAGTCAAAAAGCTGGCTTAAGATGAAATTTTTAATTGTTTTTAAATGTTTTAAATGTTTTAATTGGTAATGAGTTTTAATTGGGCCAAATTTATATATTTATATATCTTTTAATTGTTTTTTAATATTTGTCCTGCATGTTTTTTAATTTTGGCTGTACACCGCCCTGAGTCCTCAGGGAGAAGGGCAGTATAGAAATTCAATAATAAATAAAATAAATAAATAAATAAAATGGCGGCCACAACAACAATACAACCAAAGTTTTGCCTGTGGTTTCTCTGCATGCGAGAAAACAGGAAGAGCTTCTAATACAGTTAGTCCTCAACTTACAACCATTTGTTTTAGGGACCGTTCAAAGTTACAACGGCACTGAAAAAAAGTGACTTATGGTCAGTTTTCACACTTACGGCCGTTGGAGGATCGCCATCATGGTCATGTGATCAATGCTTGTCAACTGGCTCGTATTTATGACGGTCCCACGATCAGGTGATCCCTTTTTGCGACCTTCTGACAAGCAAAGGCAATGAGGAAGCCAGATTCACTTAACGGCCGCATTATTAATTTAACGACGGCAAAGATTCACTTCACACCCGTGTCAAAAAAGGTCGTAAAAATGGGGGGGCAAAAATCCTGTCTCGCTTAGCAACAGAAATTCTGGGCTCAATTGTGGTCGTAAATTGAGGACATGTATATCTTTGAGGCCTCTGTCTTGATGTTTTTTGACCACCCTCCTGCTGAAACCCCTGCAAAGCAGTTGGACTTCAACCTCCATCATCCCCAGCTGAGGTGGCTTCATTAACAGGATCCCATCTTTAGCCAAGCTGAATTGCAGATTCCTAATTCTAACCCCGAACCTAATTATCTCTAAATTCTAGACAGAATCCCTCCTCATTTGGAAACTTCCTATAAAGAGTTAACATTCAGTCTTTTTTTTTTTTTTTTAATTTGATTTATATGCCGCCCTTCTCCGGAGACTCAGGGCGGCTTACAATGCGTTAAGCAATAGCCTTCATACTTTTGTATATTTTATACAAAGTCAGCTTATTGCCCCCACAAACCGGGTCCTCATTTAACCTACCTTAGAAAGGATGGAAGGCTGAGTCAACCTTGAGCCTGGTGAGATTCGAACCTGCAGTAATTGCAGTCTTGGTGGTGGGGGAGGGTATTCTTCCCCAGACCTCATCCTAGGTTGTTGCCACCTAGCCTCAGCTCATGTGCAGAGTGCCTTTCCCCTCGCATGCTACGTTTTCCAAGAAACAGCCCATTCTAGTCCTTCCATTTGGGCTCCTGTCCTTCCCTCCTTCCCTAATTCATTTTGGTGTCAATCAAGGAGAATATTTGTGTCCCGGGGTTAAAAACGAGGGATCCTTGGTGCTTTCCTTGCAGAGCTTTCTTTTTTTTTTATAAAAAAAAAAGTTTTTTATTTTGAATACATTAAAACAAGACACAAACACACAACATTTATAATACGTATCACTTTTTCCTACAGCTATTTCGAAGCGATCCTTTCTTGCTGTTTACTTCTATTTACACATATTTTAACTTCGTCTTATTCGACAATTGTTTTCCATCTTTCTTTCTTTCGTCTGCATTGTACCTTGATCTTCAACCTTTTTTCCCCCCTCCTTTATTCCTCTTCCTCATTTTTCCTCTTCTCCAACCATTCATACCATCTACACCACACTTCGTAATATTCTGTATCCTCTTTCTCCTTGAGTTCTTTTGGTTAATTTGTCCATCTCTGCACATTCTAAAATTTGTTCTAATTACATCTTCTTCTGACGGTGGGTTTTCCTTCTTCCAATTTTGCGCATAGATGATGCGGGCTGCTGTCAGGATATGTAATATTAAATAATGTATTTCCTTGGTAGAGTTTTCTATGGAAATCCCTAGTAGAAACTGCTCAGGATCTCTCCCTTGATTGAATTCTGAATTATTTCCTCTATCCGCTTTTTAACCTTCGCCCAGAATTTCTTTGCCACTGCAGACCTTCCATTACCCAAACTAGGTAACCTCATCAGTGCCACTGAAACAATGCCTGCCACAAAACAACCACATTCGGAGACCACCAAAGATCCCTGACTTTGGGATGTCCTGCCCTGCCCTCTCCTACCAGGCTGGCACTCACGGTTCAACTCCATGCCCCCCTGTCCATCTGGTCACCTCCTCGCTCCGCTGGGGGACAACAGCTGCTCTCCAGCTCCTGCCCGGCATCCATTGAAGACCACGCTTGATCACGCAACCCAGTGAGGCTGCAGCAGCGCAGCGCACGGACGGGAGAGCCCAGAGGTTGCTGGCTTCTCTTGCCAGGCACTTTTGCTACGCAATTCCAGCTTTCCAAGTCAGGGTTGCGTCGCTTCCTGTTGTGTTGCTGCTACTGGTGGTGCTGATGACCTCTGGGCCAAGGCACTAGAGAAGAGAACACGGCCGGCCGTCAGGAAAACTTCTCACTTCCAGATATTTCCGTCTTGGCTCAGAGCTGATGGAGGAAGGCAGCACAGGCTACGGAGCCACGAGAAGCCATGCGCAGGGATCTTGCAAACACGCTCCAACCTCAGGGCTTTGAGGCACCCTATGCAGCCCCCCACCCCCACCCAGGGCCCTGGAGAAAGAAAGGCAGAGAGATTTGGGGTGCCCGGCACTGCCCCTCCTAGTCCTATGGGACATGGTTGTCACTGATGGATGTCCCCAAAGCTGGATCTTGACTTTGCTGCCTCTGATTGGGATCTACCAAATCCAGAATGTCTGGAAGAGAAAAAACCAAAAGTGTCTTAAAAAGCAAACTTTAAGGTCCCAAAGATGCTTTTTCAGGAGGCAACTGGACTTTCTTTTTTCCTTTTTTTCATCCAGGTTGCTCCTGGTTCCTGCGGTTTTTTCGTCTGGGAACCCGTTCCTTCTCCCACACCATTCAAAAGGTGTTGGGAGTAGGAATGAAGGGGGGAAATATTGCAGGCTACAGGAACCAGGGGCACTTACTCAGGTGACCCTGAGTTTAGTTAGTTTAGTTTAGTTTAGTTTATTTGATTTATATACCGCCCTACTCCCGAAGGACTCAGGGCGGTGAACAGCCAAACAATAAAATACATAGATACAAAAAATTTAAAAACCAGATAAAATTGAATTAAACCATTTTGGCCCAGACAAATTAAAACACCCCAATAATTTAAAAGTAGATTAAAATTTACATATTAAAAAGAGGGAAAAGATTAAGCCAGGCCCGCCTGGTGGAATAAAAAGGTCTTCACAGCGTGGCGGAAGGTGCGCAGATCCGAGATCCTCCTTATCTTGGGGGGAGCTCGTTCCAGATCGTAGGTGCCCCCACAGAGAAGGCTCTCCCCCTAGGGGCCGCCAGTCGGCATTGTTTGGCTGACGGCACCCGGAGGAGCCCCTCTCTATGAGAGCGTACTGGCCGGTGGGAGGCTATTGGTGGTAGTAGGCTGTCCCGTAGGTAACCCTGAAGACACAGATAAACCTCCAAGTGCTTCAGCAACCCTCTGAAAGGATGCAAATGAGCAGCTGTCTGCAAGGAATATAAATCCTTCCACTCCCCACTATCCTGTCAGAGTTGAAGAAGCTTCTTGGATGAGAAGTGAAACGTCTTCAAAAGAAAAAACAAGAAAGCCCAATTGCCTCCTGAAAAAGCCCCTTTGGGACACCAGGACCTGGATGACTGAGAATCTCTACAGACTTTCAAACTTTAAGGTGGTTTAAATGAATATCCAGGTGTTTTACTAACTAAACCAATTGAGATATTACAGGTAATCCTCGACTTGGAACCACAATCGAGCCCCAAATTTCTCCTGCTAAGCAAGACAGTTGTTAAGTGAGTTTTGGCCCATTTGGAAGACTTTTCTCGCCACCGTTGTTAAGTGAATCACTGCGGTTCTTAATGTAGTAACACGGTTGTTAAGCGAATCTGGCTTCCCCCTGGACTTTTGCTTGTCACAAAAGGGGATCCCATGATCCCTGAGGCACTGCAGCCGTCATAAATACGAGACACTTGCCAATTTTGATCACATAACCATGGCGATGTGGCAAGGGTTCTCCATGTGAAAAATGATCGTAAGTCTTCTTTTTTTTTTTCTGTGCTGTTGCAATTTCGAACGGTCGCTAAATGAATCATTGTAAGTCGAGGACTATCTGTATTCAAATAAAATCAGATCTCATCGGGGAGATGATTAAGATTTGGCGAGCCCCTCTGCTTTGATTGCTTTATGGGAAAACATCAGAGGTGGGTTTCAGCAGGTTCTGACCAGTTCTGGAGAACCGGTAGCGGAAATTTTGAGTAGTTCGGAGAACCGGTAGTAAAAATTCTGACTGGCCCCGCCCCCATTTATTCTCTGCCTCCTGAGTCCCAGCTGATCGGGGGGGGAATGGGGATTTTGCAGTAATCTTCCCCTGGATTGGGGAAGGAATGGAGATTTTACAATATCCTTCCCATGCCATGCCCACCAAGCCACGCCCATCAAGCCATGCCACGCCCATCAAGCCACACCCACAGAACCGGTAGTAAAAAAATTTGAAACCCACCACTGGACAACATGTAATGCAAACACTATCAAGCTTGTTTGTAGGACACAAAGGTGCCTCTTCAAGAGGCAACTGGACTGTCTTGTTTTCCTTTGAAGATATTTCGCTTCTCCTCCAAGAAGCTTCTTCAGCTCTGACCGGATGGTGGGGAATGGAAGGATTTATACTCCTTGCAGACAGCTGGT